AAAGAAGAACTGACTGCGTTACAGCACCCGCTGCTTGTTGAGAGTAAAAGCGATATGCGCTTTCACGTCTTTTTTTAGCGACTTTTTTTAGAAAAGAAGTCACTAGGGGGTCTGAAAACTCGCTAAATATAGCGACAAAGTCGCTAAGTTGGCAACACTGCGCTGAATCAGTTCACTGAAGTTAAGACTATGCTATAGTTGTGCTATTGTTGCTACACGGTCTAAGATAAATAAGCTCACTTAGAAACCATAAATAAATATAGTTCAAGAAGAAAGTGTATTTGCTTCTTTAGTGAAGGAACGTTTGATGAACAAAAGTGTCCCAGGCCAACAAGCCGACAGTCCTCATATCTCGTGCTTTCTTGAGACCTTGTCTTAACGGGGCCTTCAAATGCGTAGTTAACGACTCAACTGTTGCTGGTGTTAAAAACTCGAGCAAGTAAACAGCTTTGTGTAAGTGTGCGCACTCAGTGAAGAAGCATCTTAAAGCCTGTTCAAACAGTCATGAAGCTTTGCTGTCTGCTTTCTCACCACTTAATGGAGCTGACTTAGACTGAACTGGACAATATTGGCGTCTCATTTGTGCATGCATCTCCTGCTTCCTCTCAGCTTCCTGGTCAGCTTCATGGTAGATGCCAGGGGCGGAGCCATGCGCGGCTGTCGACACAACGGCCTCCGCATCATCATCCCGAAGTTGGCAACACTGCACTGAATCAGTTCACTGAAGTTAAGACTGTGCTATAGTTGTGCTATTGTTGCTACACGGTCTAAGATAAATAAGCTCACTTAGAAACCATAAATAAATATAGTTCAAGAAGAAAGTGTGTTTGCTTCTTTAGTGAAGGAACGTTTGATGAACAAAAGTGTCCCAGGCCAACACGCTGACAGGATCTTCCTTAGTCCTCATATCTCGTGCTTTCTTGAGTCCTTGTCTTAACGGGGCCTTCAAATGCGTAGTTAACGACTCAACTGTTGCTTGTGTTAAAAACTCGAGCAAGTAAACAGCTTTGTGTAAGTGTGCACACTCAGTGAAGAAGCATCTTAAAGCCTGTTCAAACAGTCGTGAAGCTTTGCTGTCTGCTTTCTCACCACTTAATGGAGCTGACTTAGACTGAAC